CATCTTGTTATCTCTTTCAGAACGATGTCCTAAGTGTGAACATGAWAGAGCTTATTTCATGCAGATTCAAACTCGCTCGGCTGATGAACCAATGACGACCTTCTACAAATGTTGCAAATGTGGTAATCGATGGAAAGACTGATGCAAAGGCTCGCTGCACTAAGAAAAGAGAAAATTATATTTATATTCTAGTGGCAGATTGAGAACCTTGAACTTTCATGCAAAAATATAACAGTGTGAATCACAAAGTCGTGACCAGGAAGAACAATTTAAGGGCTGTGTATTCAGAAGATACTATGTTATAAGTTAAGGGTATTAATAATACTATTTTATCGATTAATAAAGCTGGTATAAAAAAATGAATGAATTTTGCATTCCTTGTBCACAATGAAATACTACTATTTGCAAGATTTTTGGCTGTTTTTGGTGTCCAATAAGTTTTTAAAAATAATTTCCYTGAACTGTAGGTTTTGATCATGTTATATAGAAGTGCATGAAGATSAAACTCAATCTCACTTCTGACTGGTAAATGAACAATAACATTCTCATCAGTAGTTCAAATCCAAAGGTCATAGGTTCAAATCCCAGCTCAAGGTTGGAAATTAATTTTTACAAATTTATTACAAAGGCTCTTTTCACATGAAATAATCTTCTTCCATATCACTATATCTTTCCACTACTTTTATTTTATGTATTTCCTAGTGCTAGAGTGATCACACTTAAACCGTGCAACTGTACAAACTAAATAGTGCTATTTAGTTATATYWAGTAWATCGTGCATGCGGTACGCAAATTAAATTGAATTGATACAAMTGAAGCMTTCAATACCGTCTTGCTTCAGKTMCACTTTTAGTACAAATTAGTAYTACTTAGATTTTGAACAGTTGCACGGTTTAAGTGCGATCACTCTATGAGGTTGACATAAATATACCCAATATATCTTCACGTGGTCATGGCCTTGTAATTGGCACTGTAATGGTTATTGAGAGAAAATAGATGACTCTGTCAATAATTATTTGAACAAAATTGTATATTTAACTAAGAAATAAAACTGTATAAATCATTAATTAGGTATCTAAGGTGWCATGTTTTAATTCAATTGACTCAGGAAGTAGTCAGACTGTAATGGAGTACAGCCTAGTTCTTGTGAAAGGAATTTTTCATAAAGTGTAGCATACAGGTATTCCTTGCTGCCATGAGGGAGTCTGTACCAGGCTCTTCTCATTAATGTGATGGTATGCCGATTGACAGTTGTATGWTATATTTTTGTTGCATAAGTGGGAAAATTCTTGGCAGGCAAAAGTTAAAAATACTAAGTACAGCAGAACAACTTGACTTATAAAGCAGATCATTCTAGAAACTAAAAAAAATTGGGACAGGTGCTTATGTCATTTTAGTCTGTCTGTAAACCAGATACTTTGTTGCCCAAKYACAACAAACTTCYGATGAAATAGTGYCCMTTTTACTGTYAGTTAAGTGTCTTGTTTACTGAATGGCTAAGATGGAGCTTTGTGTGGTGTGACTGATTGACTAAAATGGCAAAATAATATTGTCTGGTTGACTGACTTAGATGACAAAATGTCTGGTTAACTGACTAAGACTACACTGTTTTTGTCAAACAAACGGGGCAATTATTTGTGGGAAGCACTTATTTTACTTTTTGCAATAATATCGTACTCAGTRTTAACTGGGTAACTGGATTCAAAGTACAATTTCTGAAAGACTTGATTAATAATTGTTCTCCTAATTCAGAACCCTTTAGAGTAAAATCCTCTTGTTTCCACACACTCACGGATGGATGTAAAGAGAAAGTAATACTACATACTGCCAAGGGGTTTGAAATAGGACAACAACTACCAGATAAGAACTGCATTTTCATKTGAATTCTTTTAATGACTAATATCACAAAGAACGCTCATTAGGACCAGTTCATACTACAACATAAGCAGAAAAATATTAATTTTTACATAGAAGAAGAAACATGGAATGAAAACTCTTCCATTTCCTAGTGTTTCTGCTTCTGCTTACATTGACAAATTACAATGTGAACTGGTGCATCATAAGCAGATGCTCGTGCTTATGTCAAGTGTAAACCAGCTTCTGTTTCTGTTTTGATATCCTTTCACATAGTTTGAGCCCATACTTAGTGTATTACATCTTACCACTGAATCCATGGCAATATGGGCACAAATTTACATATCTCTGTTCTGCCCAATTTTTTCATTAAATTCTTGAAATTCCTTCGTGGTCCGACGTCACCTGCCAACCGTTGTGAAATGTCTTAAATATAATGGAATCCTGACGACATTTGTTCAGTTAGACGTACATCAGTCACAAACTCCCAAATGTAATTTAATGTAATACCAAAGAAAGCTTTTAGCAACCTMAACATGAAACACTCCATTTCTACTTCGAAAGCACGATGGAATTTCAGGTATTTAACGACAAAAGTGGGCAGAGCAGGCATATGTAAATTCAGGCCCATTCCACGGAAATAAATGGAAGGGTTCCTCTCTATACCTACACTTGACAAGTTGCAACGTTTCCTATTGTCTATACATATGAACCAATATCTGCTAGCTGGTATTCACAGGGTTAAAACCTTTTAGTTCGCTATGTGCTTTCATGTGAATATCATATGTTTTCTTTTGCGCAAACCTCTTTTCACATTCAGGACACTGAAAGGGCTTCTCTCCTGTGTGACTTCTAATATGATTCTTTAAATAAGTCTTYCTCACAAACTTGCTATGACAATAATGGCACTCAAATGGCTTCTCGCCTGTATGTGTTAAAAGATGCCGACTCCAGCTGACCTTTTGTGCAAACTTCTTATCGCAATAAGTGCATTCAAATGGCTTCTCACCAGTGTGAGTTCGCAGGTGATCTGTGAGACTGATCTTATATGCAAATTTTCTYTTGCAATAAGTACATTCAAACCGTTTTTCTCCTGTGTGCCTTCGAAGATGTTTGCTCAAGTTACTCCTCTCGGAAAACTTCCTTTCACAATGCATGCAYTCGAATGGYTTCTCACCTGTATGGGTTCKCAGGTGAAGGTTTAAATAGTCTTTCCTTGCAAACCGTTTYTCGCAATACTCGCATTCATATGGTTTTTCTCCRGTGTGTGTCCTGAGGTGAAACATTAGATTTGACTTATTTTTCAGTTGCATGTCACAGTAAGTGCATTTAAACRACTCTACATTGATACTTTTAGRACTKGATCCTTCTTTCTTGTGTGGTTGTCTTCTGGAACTATTTCTATTGTTTTTAGAAGTTTTGGCTTTGCTATTTGATTTCTCTTTTTTTKGTTGTGAGGACCCCTGATGAACTACTGTAGACTCTGGACCAGTTTCATCGTCAATGTCCTCTTCAGTTAGGTTTGAAGGACTAACTTTCTTATAAACTAGTAGCATTGACGGGATTTCGTCTATATCCTCGACTTCGACTTCTTCTTCTTCTTCCGAGGAGTCGTCTTTACCATCCGTTGGTGAAGCCATTTTGTTGAGAACCTTATGAATGACTTGCTGTCCATTCATGCTATCTTCTGTAGAAAATAAAATTGAAAACCTCGTACATCAACTGTACCACACAAAACTAAACACAATCTTTGTAATTGTAATATTTTGCCGTTGATCGAGAGTTGTCAAACGATAGCGGACACGTGAAAAAAATCATTTTATGGCAAACAAAAGAAAGTTGATTCGTTCGGTAAAAAGCTTACAAAAACAGCCCTGCTTACCTTAAATTCTCACATATATTGAAAGATTAGTATGKATCAGATGTGTTAACGGGTTTCAGTGATAAAAAGGTGACCTGAACATAAAAAAATGGTTGAAAACCTGATAAAACGAAGACGTCCATTCAGGTGATGCTGTCAACCGTGAAAACCTCAAAGCAATAATAGCCAGGCGTTACATTCCCTGCCGGGAAGACTGGGACCAGCCCATTTCATCATACGTTTTGTCCTATTTCTTATCTTTTTTTCTTTTCCGTTTTTAATCCTTTTTTGTTATCATCTTCTGCTACTAACAGCAATATTATATTTGATAAAATAAACCAGTCTCCACAAAGCAAGATAGCGAGGAACGCCTGGCTATTTCGGCATTCTGAGAGGGAGAGGTCAAAGCACTTCGCTCCGATTCGATACCAAACAAGCGGCGAAATTTTCAGCCGTTTTGGGAATCTACAGCTAAATCTTTTTAAACCAACGATTGCTAAACTTTAATTGAGACATTTTATGATTATTAAATAGCTTAATATTTTAAAGGTAAGTTACAACATGTACTTTATAATGTTTGGTATATCTGTAAAGCGCTTTGTCAAGTCGCTTCATTGTTGTGCTTCATGTCAGATTTTTATGTTTGAATATTTACAGATTGTCGCAATGTATAAAGAATTCTGCAGTATTGCTATTCAGACAGATGATTTTGGTTGTGAAAATGGATGTACTTCGATCTACATAGAATCATGCMAAGTTGTCACTRACGACTTTGAATCGACCCAAACACGTGTAGATCCGAGTATTCAAGTTAAGGTGGAAGTAAATGAAGAAGATTCTGCTGCTTTTAGCAATGAATTAGAAATATTGCCTCAGTTAGCTATGGAGAGTGTTGCGGTTAAATTTGAAGATAATTTTGATCACTTCAGTAATACAAATTTATGTTGTACATCAAATACTTTGCCTGAGCAAAATACAGAGTATGCTATGGTAAATGTTGAACATAGATTTGATTATAGTGTAATTACTGAATCGTGTGATATTCCTGAAGGCACAGACCTCATTGAAAATGAATCAAATATGGCAGATGCATGCCAAGCCARCAACTCGACTCAAAGCAACATTAGTGAAACACTCAAAGGAAATACTGATGATGRCAGCAAKGGTGATGRAAAAAATATTATTGAYAGAAGTTCAAAAACCCAGCATAGCTCAAGCAATGGCCTTAAATGTTCTTATTGTTCAAAGGAGTTTAAATATAAATTCTTACTTAAAGAACACATGAAAAAACATACTGGACAAAAGCACTATGAATGYARTTACTGCAAAAAAAGATTCCCAAGAAAAGAAGCCTTCAAGAATCATGTACGTCTTCACACAGGGGAGAAACCTTTTCATTGTTCCTGYTGYGATTTAAAGTTTTCATCRTACAATAATTTATTCAGACACTTACGTAAGCAGCATCCTGGCCAGAAAAACTATGCGTGYCCGCATTGCGACAAGAAATTTAGCACCAAGATTGAAATGAACAAACACATCCACGCAGAAAAACACCTGGACTGTGCCTATTGTGGTCAAACATTTTCGTTGTCATTCCTATTGAAACAACACTTAAGAAAGCACACAGGAGAGAAGCCATTTTCCTGTCATTATTGTGAAAAGAAGTTTACTTTCAAGAAGACTTTAACTGAACATTTAAGAATACATACTGGAGTAAAGGTCTTTGAGTGTCCTTATTGTAAAAAGAAGTTCCCAAATAAGTTGTCTTGTGATMGACACATCAGAATTCACACTGGAGAGAAGCCCCACAAATGTTCATATTGCTCAAAGACCTTTGCTGAACCAAGTAATTTAACTCGTCATCTTGTGACTCACACAGGRGAAAARAGTGTTGGTTGCTCACAGTGTGGGAAGAAGTTTGCAAGAGCAAGTTATTTAAAGTTACATCTTCGAACCCACACAGGAGAGAGACCCTTTCAATGTTCATATTGTGATTTGAAGTTTTCTGGAAGAAGCAACATGAGACGTCATATTTCAAGAATACATGGTGTTAAAGAATAGAATAATCTAAAAACTGACTACCCATAAAATAACAAAGTGCAGAGTTTATCTTTATGTACAAGAAGAAGAGTCTTTTTATGCAGTGTAAATAAAATATGATATCATCATACAAGACATTGAACTTTTAAAACAGCCATACAATTAGCATTCTTTTTGGTTTCTATGATTCTGATAATTATATTATTATAGTTTAATTTTAAGTTTTATTATTTAAGTTTTGAAGAAAATAATATTGATTGTAAAATAAAAGTGTTTTTATGAACAATCAGACTTACTGTATTAAAAATGACTAATAAATGATATTGTCAAATTAGAGATAAGAAGCCCATTATAAAATTGACTGTGAGAATGCCAGTTTTATAACCTTTAAAAGTTCCTRTGACACCTGATACAATAATAACTATTCTCTTTGAACTGATTCCGAATCAAGAAAACAATTGTATGGTAAAATATTCCTGCATTTCAGTGTTGCGCCTTTGAGTTATGACRTTAAGGGAGTCTTCATTAGATACATGAACTTTGAAACAGTCGCTCAAAAATGTTTTCATGAACTCCATCTGGGAATATGGTTATTCCCTACATTGCMTACGATAAATTTAATGTCATGAAACMATTTTTAAGCGACTCCTTCAAAGTTCGTRTATCTAATGAAGCCTTCTTTGATGTCATTTTCATTAACACATTGTAAGACTGAACCTTCACAACTAAAAGACGCAACACTGAAATACATTTCCATTTTTTTACTTTATATAGAATCAGCTCACAGAGAATCAGAAATTATTGTGTCRGGCATCATAGACATTTTAAMATATTGTAACTACCAGTTAATTTTTAGCAAATATTTGAAGTACTAACAAAAGTTCAGCACCAATAATTAGTGCATTGATGTTAAATTTGAGGAGTTCAACATTTTACAGTTATCCTTGGAGTAGTCTCCTCCCAAAGCCCTTAATTTGGTTCTTCCCTATGTCTTTCCAGATGAGCAAAATAACGGCTGCAATAGGAGACTATMCATGGAGTTAGTAGCTACAGTTTTATTTGCATGAGGTCTCTATTCAACTTGTAGTAATGCAAACTCCAATACTCTTTCAACACCACCAATAACTCGGAACTCCTAATCATTGGATAGCTGGATGTGGGTGTTTTTACATCCCTCCAAGGTATGCGGAGGGTTGGAGGGATATAGGTATCAGATACATATAACTTTATTTTGGACTTGGGCCATTGCTTTGGGTTTACTGATCAAAGTTGTCATCCATTTTTCAGAACACTCAGTACTACAGTARGTTTATTCTCCAGAGTGCTTTTTCAAATGATTCTTCAATGATTCTAGTCKAGCATATTTTTTCTTACAATGAATACATTGGTAGTTTTTTTCTCCAGTGTGTGTTATCAAATGTCTTTTCAATGATCCATGTAGGGCAAATGTTTTCTCACAAATACTGCATTTGTGGGATTTTTCTCCWGWGTGAATTATCAAATGTCTTTTTAATTTCCCTTTTTCAGCAAATGTTTTGTCACAAGTATTGCAGTTGAATGGTCTTTCTCCTGTGTGTGTTATCAAATGTCGTTTCAATTGCCCTTTTTGAGCAAATCTTTTCTCACAAATRCTACACTGGAAAKCCTTTTCTGAAGAGTGAGMAACCKTTTTGTCRCAATATTTATATTGGTKTGTTTTTTTCTCGGGGTGTGTCTTCAAATGGATTTTCAGTTGTTGTTTGAAGATGAATTTTTTGTCGCACTCAGTACACTGAAAGGGTCTTTCTCCAATGTGAGTTATTATAAAATGTCTTCTCAATTCCCGCTTTTCAGGAAATTGTTGATCACAAGAAGGGCACTTGAAAGGTTTTTCCTCAGAGTGGGTTATCAAGTGTCTTGTCAATGTTCCTTTTTCAGCAAAYGTTTTCTCGCAAATGTTGCACTGATAGGGTTTTTCTTTAGTGTGAGTTCGGAGGTGAATGGTTAAAGCACTCTTTTGTGTAAACTTTTTCCCACAATAATTACACTCATGTGGTTTTTCTCCAGTGTGTAACAGCATGTGACCTCTTAAAGATTGAAGCTTAGTGAAGGTTTGATCACAATGAGAACAACTGAAAGGTTTTTCTTTGAAGTGGACTCTCTCATGGAGTGTTACACCTGTCTTTCGTGCAAATCGTTTGCYGCAATATGAGCATTCAAATGGTTTTTCAACAGAATGTACAATTTGGTGTTTTTTTACATCATGTTTATAAGTGAACTTCTTTCCACATTGTGGACATTCAAAGTGCTTTTCAACTGTGTGTACTTTTTTATGYCTATTAAGCTCACCAYTGCTTTTGTACTTCTTTTTGCAATGTGAACACTCAAATGACTTTTCTCTTGAATGCATCTTTAAATGCCAACTCATTGCACCTTTACTCATGTACCTCTTGTTACATTGCGGACAACCAAATGGCTTTTCTTCTGTATGAATATTCAAASGAGATGATGCATTGCCAGTAATGCACTGTACGTCCTCCGCATTTCTAGACTTATGCGGAAATGCATTTGTATCTAGGCAATTTGGATCTTGCTTCATATCAATCTTATCACCAAGAACATTTTTACCAACACTAGAGATAAGCTTATTGTTCAAAGAATCACTTGAATCATGTTGAAGTATACCTTGCACTTTTTCTGAGTGCATTCCACAGTTGTGCTCCCTTTCTGAATGATTTTGGCTAGCAAATTCCTCTTCTTGGCCACTCAGGCCTTGRGCTTGGCTTTGAATCTCTTTGCAAATCTCAGCTAGTTGGAACTGAGGCAAATATAATGCTCTTGAAATGTCAGAGCCATTATTATCTTCTCTGTCATCCAACATGTTCGGAATATCACATGGTTTAGTATATTTAACACTATAATCAAATCTGTGCTCAACATTTACCATATCGTACTCTTTGTTTTGATCAGGCAAAGTATTTGATGTATCAGATGAATTTGTATTACTGAAGTGATCATAATTATCTTCAACTTTAACCACAACATTTTCCATATCTAACTGAGGCAATATTTCCAGTTTATCTGTACGAATGCAATCAACACTCTGCCTTTTTTTTSTCACAACTTTAACTTGACCACATGGAGTACATGGGACTAGTTATAATGTGAACAGACTTCAGCCATTGCTGCAGCCCAAGTAGTATCTGTCTGCAAACCAATACCAAGTAATTCTTTAGATATCCAGGAAAGCTTGTTCTGAAATTATTTTCAAATATAATYAATCTTACAAAATCTTCTGCAAGGTTGCACCCCAGGGTAGGTATGCTTGACGGACGGATTTAAAAATAACCCTAAAAGGCACACATAAATTAATTCAGGTATCGATTCCAGACCCTAAAAAGTACGACCATTTTTGACGTCTTTAAGAAAAGCTCAAGTTTAAACAAACTATAGAAAATCAATGTTACTTGATACAATGTTGAGGTTTATTTTAAAACTTCTTCAATATTTTTTCTGTTGTTCAAAAAACGACCCAAAAATGTACGGATCCGTACGAGTCAGCTCAAGAACCTAAAATGTATTTTCGACCCTAAAAGATTCGCCGAGCATACCTACCATGCTTTATAGGAAAGTCCCCCCCCCTGCACACATAGTTTCCTCCTTGTCGATTTTGTAGCAATTCATTGATGGGAGGGGAGGGGGAATGTWCTCTGACATTTCAGAGACGGAGCAAAAGATTGTACAAGTTGAGTCAAACAACACCATTCACATCACCTTGATTTTAGGGTTAAACCAGGAGAATAATGAAACCTACAGCATATGACATATGAAGAGAAAACTAGTTGCGCTAGGTTTTGCACCAAAGCGGCGCATAATCAGACAGCAACCCAGAAATTGTACTTTTTGAGCTTGTTTAACTTTTTTCAGTGTGAAGGGAATAATTTTTGCTGTTGAAAAATAATTTTATAATTTTGACATGCTTTGGCACTCTTATTCATTTGAGGYATACAGTTAAAAAGGCTGCCTCCTTTAGTTTTAACCGCGAAAAGGTCTATTTATCTAAGTTAATAACCCAAGGATGTGTTAGAAAATTCAATACTCCAGTTTCGAATTCTCCAATGCTCTGTGTGTTAGCCTCATTTGTGTGCACAATATTCCTAATTTTGTGAGAATAAAAGTGTGAGATTTCAAATCAATTCCATTGTCTTTCTTTTCGAATTCCATGCGTTTTCTCGGGCTATCAATAAAACAAAAGAATATGTTACTTGGTTTTGAGGCTAACACAGACCAAACCTGAGACCTCGAAATTGGAGTATTCCACTTTGAATTATTATACAATTATAGAAATTCTTATCGCACTGGACAAAACTTGAACTTATAGTATATAATATATCCTTAGTTTCTGTCATTTGTGCATTTGTGTTCTTCAGTTTTGCATTTTGTTCTCTGGGTAAACAGTAATCCAACAAGTCAACACAACCGTGCTCGATTATCGAAAGAAAGGGCTGAACGGTTTAACTTACCTTAAAACTTTCAATCACTTATAAAATTTGGACTTTCAACATTAGAAATTTGTTTACTTAACCAGAAAATTCGCCGTAAGTCGTAAATAATAGGCTTGAAGGTCCAACGATGTCTTTTATTCGCCGCCTTCCAAATCTTGAATAGAAATGTCGGAATTAATCAGGCATTCCTCTCTGCCTGAAATTGTTTCTGGGTTTCCTGTGGAATTCAAACCAATACGGTTCCCGTCGTTCCTGTGGCGTTTGTTCATATTATTTAAGTGCATTTTTTAATCAGTGCATCAAAAATAGCCTATCCTTGTACTAAATAGATATATATATAATTTATAATTACCTATGAATAGCCTTCGCACATCCTCCCGAATAATCTTCCCAATTATTTGGGAGGGGTGAGAAACAGATCAGTACTAGGCTATGTTATGAGCTATATGTATACCTATGTTAAAAAAGAAATGAATAACAACATGGCAGTACCTCTTATAGTCTTAAATGAAGATCTTAGTAAATTTATGTCGTCGAGTGACCCCACCAATTTTTCAAGGTACCCCCCCCCGCCCTCCCCCACCCAATTCAAAATAACTACTGTGTTTTGGATAAGTGCTTTCTATAGTTTCTTTCACAACTCCATTTGACAGATACCAATAACCATTCTCTCACACAGCTGTACATTATTTAAAAATAGTTATACAACCATCATATTTTTTATATTATTACTTAATTGGTACTGATATGAATCAGACAGATGACAGGCATGTRTATGAGTGACAAATACTATCAGTGATAACTATATCTGTAGTGAGGATTTTACACCAAGATTATATRCTCAACGGCCAGTCAAGGTAATTTATTTAGAGTATTATGTACAAGAAACATCAAAACATACAATCTCAATAGGCAGTGTACAGTGACGTCATTTTGTGCAGCAAAGCATTATTGATATAAGTTGTTGTCCTTGTATTATATTATTATTATATTATTATATTATATTATAGTCCTTGTGCTTATCATAGACCCTAAAAATAATATCTCCCTAAAAGGTATTTTTATTTTTTCTTTGATATAGTACAACACTTCTATTTTTACTCAGAAAAAGCAAAAACTGCTTAGAGCTGTTGTAACGGACATAAAAAAGTTTAAGGACTACAACTACCATCATGCTTTGCTGCACAAAATGGCGTCACTTACAATGCCTATGGAGTCAACAAACATTGGAATTTTCCCCAGAATGCTTTCTCAGATGTTTTTTAAGTGTTTGTTTATCTGCATATTTCTTCTGACAGAGTGTGCACTGGAAGGGTTTTTCTCCAGTGTGTGTCAGAATATGCCTTGTCAAATCCTTGTTTTGGTTAAACCTTTTATCACATGTAGTGCACTGATAYGGTTTTTCACCAAAGTGAGCAGCCTGAAGGTGAGTTTTTAATGAACCACTTTGTGCATATTTGTTCCCACAATGACTACACTCRTACGGTTTATCTCCAGTGTGTAAACGAATATGTGTTTTTAGAGATTGTCGCTGAGCAAAAGTCTTGTCACAGTGTGRACAATTATAAGGTTTCTCTCCAGTATGAAGTCTCTGATGCCTTGTTACGTCATCACTCTGTGCAAATTTTTTCCCACAATATGTGCATGCAAAACGCTTCTCTTTWAGATGAACATTTCGTTCATGCTTTTTCAAATCAAATTTAAAAGTGAACTTCCCTTCACATTGAGAGCACTCAAATGGTTTTTCGCCAGTGTGTATTTTCAAATGCCTCTTCAAATCACAATTTCTGAGAAATGTTTTCTTACATTGTTGACATTCAAATGGTCGTTCTTCCGAGTGGAATTTCATGTGGTTGTTTAGAGAACTGTTACTAATAAACCTCTTATTGCAGAGTGGACACACAATTGGTCGCTCTTTTAAGTGCACTTTTAAGTGCCATCTCATATCACATTGCCTACGAAACTTTTTCTTGCATTCAGGACACTCAAAAGGCTGTGCTAAAGTATGTACTTTTGAATGAACATACAAATCGCATTGCCGACGAAACTTCCTTTTGCAATGTCGACATGTAAAAGGCTTTTCTGCTGTGTGCAATTTTATATGTCGGTCCAAAGCAGTTTGACTGCGGTACCTCTTTTTACATTGTGGACACTCAAAGGGTCTTTCATCTACTTTTTCTTTCATATCTCCAGATTTCAAAGGAAATGCTGTCTGGTTTTGACTACACTGATCATGCACATTGCTTTGGATGGCACTTTCATCTTCATTCGGCTGGTATTGCTGTTCATGTAATCCTCCTGAGATGTTAGGACCAGCAGCCATATTTTCAACTTCATTTCCATCTTTACTGCTGTCTAAATTGTTCGGGAAGTCACTTGATTCAGTATATTCAACACTATAATCAATTCTATGTTCAACATTTACTATAGCATCCCCTGTGTTTTCTTCAGATAATGTATCTGATGAATCAAAGGAATCTGTGCTGTTACTRTGATTTAATTCATTTTCAAATTCCACACTTTCCAATGTATTGCTAAAAATATTAACAGAATCTGCATTACTGAAACAAGGTGTATTTTCTTTGGCCTCAACTCCAATACAAGAGTCATGCTGTGGTGTTTCCAATTTGTTGYGGACAGTGAGTGATTCTGTATCAATGAACATTGAAGTACAACCATTATTRCAGCCCAAGTCATCYGTCTGTATAGCAATACTGCAGAATTCTTTATACATCCTGAAATCTTTGACTTGTAAATCTGTAAGCATTAAACATAAAAAGCGTTGAGAGAATGGGTCATCAAAATGCAGTACTGCTCTTATTTTGATAAGAATAATTTATAGCAAGACAAAATAATTATAAACTAAGTACTGTAAGTTTATTAAGTTCGACAAGTCGAAATGTGCTAATCAGCTTTGATCTTTAAAAAATCAGAAAACAGCCATCTTGAAGTATATCAGAGCAAACCTACCTTGTCAGCATAACACTATAAAACTTAACGAATCGTTTTTCAAGCAGACACAAGCTGTAAATGTCCAGAAGAAATATGAACTTCCATGAACTTCAGTCAACCGCCAAAACTGTCAAAAACATCCAGGCATTCCTCGCGATGTCACTAGACCATATTTGGAAAATACTTTTTGGGCTTCCTTTGGAATTTAGTTTTTTGTTGGGGATATTTCTAAATAGTAGGCCTGGTCCAGTTAGGGTAACTGATAATTGGTATTATTACATGCAATCAACTGACAAGAAACCCAACGTCATTCCCAAATTGAAATCGATTAGGAAGCTATCTATTGTTGGGTCATATGTATATGACAGTCCAATTCATTATTCTGCTCATACGTCAGATTAACAGTCATTAAACATCAACAGTGATATCAAGGACAATAGATCTATTAATCTTGGGCAATGTTTATCACATTCCAAATGAGTTAGTAGAATGATTCTTTGTCCATATTCACAACTGAGCATCGATGGAAATCCAATGAAGAACCATATATGTATGAAACGTGAAAACAAATTATATTCTTATCACATTCATTTTTTATTCAATCATTCTTTAGTTTGGCTGT